AAATTTTTGTGTGCTTTCAGCCCTTGGTCAACATTTCTCTATGTGATGCATTCAGGGCTGAACGTTTTGGTTAATCAACACAAAGGTTCATTTTTTTTCTCTTTTCTTGTAATACTGGGGATTGAACTCAGGGTGTTGCAGCATTACAAGGCAGGAGCTCTACCACCGGAGCCATATTTCCAGGTTATTCTGACTTTATTCTTGAGTCAGTCTCCTTTTAGCTCTGGATCAGTCCGGACTGTGATTGTCTTACTTGTGCTATCATCTTGCCATCACCGTGCCCAGCCATTGGCTGAGATGAAGTCCTTGAACTTTTATGCCCAGGCTGTCCTTGGGCTGATAACCCCTAATCTCGATTCCCAAGTAGTTATGATTGTAGGCTTGAGCCACGGTGTCCAGCACACACTTCATTTTGGAGCATACAGCTTGACTATAATCCTAGGCTCTCTTGCAGTTACAGTGAAAGTGAGGGAAGTGGCAGTCTCTCTTGATTGAAGCTCTCCGTGAGGTCATCTTTCTGAATGTTCTCTTTCCTCTTGATCACCAGAAGCAGAAGAAGAGGAAGACACTGGGGATTTTACCTCTTCAGAAACACTAATTGTGGGTTTTGGGGTTTTTTTGGGGGGGTCCGGTCGTGGGGCTTGAACTCTGGGCCTGGGCGCTGTCCCTCAGCTCTTCAGCTCAAGGCGAGCACTCTACCACTTGAGCCATAGAGAAGGAGATTCATATGAAAGCAGGATGTGACTTTCAAGAGACCAGATAGGAGATAGGAAGAATTATGAAAATTTCTTGGGAGTAAATAGAGAGTGGACTTTGGAGAGCAAATTAAGAATGAATTATCAATAATGTAGCTGTGTGAGGAAAGGTAGAAAGACAGAGCTGTCAGGAAGACCCCAAAACACAGAAATAGAAATGGGATGTTTGATAACAAATAGCCTGTTTTGAGTGAGAAGCAGAGATGTACAGGTCAAAGGTTTCAAAGGCAAGAGCCTTTAGGTTTTAAGGCTGTCTGCTAATAGTTGGACAAATTTGGTGTCACGGAATGCTTGGTTTAGAACACTCTTTGCTAGGATCTAAGGGTTGCCAAGAAGCGTTTAGTGGGTTGGAGCACTAGGGTACAAAAGTCTATTAGGCTGTTCTAGAAAAGTCTGTTTATAAGTCATATTATAATATATATATATGCAGAATATCTAGAAAAACTTGTTTACTGCCTGTTGTCAACCGAAAGGTGCCCTTTGATGGATTGGCTAAGTCCATTAGTTCAGCAAATACCTTGACTGCATACAGTTTATACAGAATACTTTTTTCATATGAATCTAAAAGCCCTGCACTTAAAGTGACTGTGTTTGCAGGAGGCGATAAAGCACAAGACAGAACAAGGAGGCCTGCCAAAGACGACGAGGAAGTAGGGAAATTCCATCGCCTAGGAGACTGCTTTCAAGGAGAAATTCTTATTTGACATACTCAGGGTTTTTAACTGTATGAAATAACGGAAATTATACTATAATATAAATGTAATGTAAATATATCGCCACAGATGCATGTATTTTTATCTCATCCACCTTGCTTCTTACCCTTCCTTTTCCTCATCCCCTGCCCCTCTCTCTGAAACAGACCTCCATTAAGCGTTGACTTTGTGTTCATTTGTATTTACGGATCTAGATTCAATACCTGAGAAAAATATGTGACATTTGTCTAAATCTTATTTCACTCAACATGATTTTCTTTTTTGTCTGGTCATGGGGCCTGAACTCTGGACCTGGGCACCATCCCTCAGCTCTTCAGCTCAAGGCTAGCACTCTACCACTTGAGCCACAGTGCCACTTCCAGCTTTTTTTCTTTTTGCTTATGTGGTGCTAAGGAATCAAACCCAGGGCCTCATGCATGCAAGGCAAGTGCTCTACCACTGAGCCACCTTCCCAGCCCAACATGATGATTTTTAATTTCTACATTTTCCTGTAAATGACATAGCACTCTTCTATTTGGCTGAATATTCCACTGTATGCATACATACATCATATTTTCATTGGCTGATTGGTACCTAGTCTAGTTCCATAATGTGGCAATTTCAAATAAAGCTGTGATAAGCACAGATGTTCAGGTATTTCTATTTTTTTAATTATCTGTAAGTAGTTGGACCAAGGGGTTTCGATTCAGTGTTGTTTGTGAGTACAACACATCTTGCTCAATGTCACCCCTTCCATCATTCTCCTCTCTCTCTCCCAAGCCTAGTCATCAGGTATTTCTATTGTAGGCTATTACATTGCTTCAAGTAAACGTATAGGAGCGATATAGCAGTTTAATTGTTTTTAGTTTTTGAGGAAACTCCATAGTGATTTACTTAGTGGCTGCACTCATTTTTATATGACTTATTTCTCCTACACTTCAGTGACAAGTAATTTTAAAGGTCACAGACTTTCTGGGATTAAATCCAGACAGTGCACTTAAGCCATTTTATCTTAAATAAATTGTGAAATTGCTTTGTCTCAGTTTTTCATCAGCAAATGGGGATATTACTAATTTTAAGGACTGTTTGACTAAATGAATTACTGCAATAGTCTGAGTCATGGCTCCAAAGATATCTGGTATTACTATCTGGAATCTATAAATATTACTTTGTATGTTAAAAAATAATTCTTTGCATGCGTGATTAAGGATTTTGAAGTGGAGAGGTTATTCAGCTGGGCCTTGGCAATTCAAAGCAGAGGCAGAAGGAGACTTGCCCACAGACAGAAGGCAATATAAAGACCGGCCCAGAGACTGGAGTGATGCGACCACAATCTACAGAATGCCAGCAGCCACCGACTCCTCCACAGCCTCCAGAAGAAGCTGTTTTCTGACATCTTAATTTTGGCCCAGCACAATACAGAACTTCTGGTCTCCAGAATAGTGAGAGAGCAAATCCCTTTTAGGTCACTCAGATATAGTGATTGATTTCAGCAACAATCCCAGTGGAAATTGATACAAATTAATACTTGAATGGATGCCCGAAAAGTGACCAGATGTTCACACTCTTAAGCACTAAGAACAAGGGCAATTCAAGGACCAGAAAGTATAAGGCAAAATCATGTTGTTAAGTACAGAACTGACTTAGTAGACAAAAGAGTGCTAACCTTTATACACAAAGAGTCCAACTAGTATATTTGTTTGTTTTAACAGTGGAGACTATTTACTCTCTCAAGTTAATGTGTAAGTAGCACAATGTTTCAGAGTAGCACACTGATATTGGAGTGGTTCCTGAAAAGAAAAGTGAGATCAAGGTATTCCAACAGTTTTCAAAAAGTTTAAATGAAGCAAGATTCTGCCTACAAAAGTTGCATATATGTAACTGTCCACATATCTGGGCCTGGGTGCCGTCTCTGAGCTCTTCTGCACAAGGCTAGAACTCTACCACTTGAGCCACAACACCACTTCCAGTTTTCTGCTGGTTAACTGGAGATCAGCATCTCACGAACTTTCCTGCCTAGGCTGGCTTTGAACCGAGATCCTTAGATCTCAGCCTCCTGAGTAGCTAGGATGACAGGCCTGAATGAACCATCAGCACCCAGCTCCATCTATCTTTGACTCATATAAAAGCATCTACACATAACATAGCCAAGTCAGAATTCCTTTCACTACCACACAATAATGGTAAATTATAGACAGATGAGAGATGGTGGCAGTGGCAACACTATAGTCCATAAACAGACGTGGGGTTCTTAACTGTCCAGTCTTGAGAATACTTTGAAGGAGAAGAGGAGGAGAAAAGAGAAAATTAACAGATAAACCCATGACTATTGTATTTGCTTAGATAGTAACAGAGGAAGGAAAAAGCTCAGAAAGGGTGCCAAACCAAGAGCCCCTTTTGTGTTCCTTTGAATGTGAGATGTCGTTTGGCATGTCTGTTGAATACACACTTGTCTTGAGTTCAGGGCTGAGGGCGCACATGACATCAGTTTGAAAGAAACGTAACAGAGTGTAGTTAAAGCCACAGGTGTGAGGACTGGATCCTTGTGTGCTAAAATGGTGATAGGTTTGGGAGGACAAGAGAACACGGGAAAAGAACCTGAAAATGAAGTAGAAGGGAAAATATGAGGGTGGTGTGCAAGAGATGGAATGGAGAATAGGGGGTGATTAAAATAAAAAAGCAACCCGTTTGTTAAATGTTCTTTCACTTAGAAAAACGAGAATTGTTTGTTGTGCTTTTCCACTGAGATTTGGGAGTTTGTTTTTGCAGTATATTAACATATTAATCAATACAATACAATCTAATTTCTTGAAGTGCTTGTAATTTAAATTCTGAAACTATGTGCTTAACTTTTAATTAGCTAAACTTCTTACAGTGCTGAGATCATTTCATTCTGGCACTTTCTCTACAATAATGAGTGCATCCGTCAGCACGGTGATAGTCTAGCTGTCACTGGGTTCTTATTCACTAACTCCTTCCAATAATATTTATAAAAGTCACTCTAGTCATCACTCTGATAATTAAATTCTTGATAAGAGTAATTTGTCAGTGAAATGGACCTCACATCACTCTTCTTTAGTGATGGGCTCCATGACACACATCTGGCCCTCCATAAAGGTGAGTGTGTCCATCAAAAAGCTATTTTATTAATGCAATTTGATATGCTATTACCACAGAGCTACTCCATTAAATTAGGTTGTCAAAGGCTAGCCTCAGGATGCACAGAGTATATGACAAATGGTTTAGCAAAATCAAAAGCCTATTTCAAAAATCTGAATGGAACAAGTTCAGGGCCACCATAAATGGTGGTACAATTGCAAAGGTACTTACTGAGGATGCCCTGAAACCCATGTCCATCTTTAATTCTTGCTAACCTAGAAGATCTCATTGGAATGGAAGGGACACTTATATGGTTAGTCTTTATGGAGAAGCTTCTCTTTGGAAATCAGTCTAGATTATTAGAACAAATTACACATCTGCTTATGGACAGCCTTGCAGTGGAATGTTATCAACAAAAATATCCTTTGAGGTTTGATAGGTAGGTAAGTTATACATGCATTCCCTCAAATTTCACAACGACCAAGAAATTTCCAGTCGTTTGGGTGTTAGGCCAAAGGACAGTGAGAAGGTTATATTAAAGCAGGGTGGCTCTCACCTGACAGCACATTTCCTTGCTGGGTTTATCCGGTCCTGTCTAGAAATATTTTTGGTTGCCCTGATTGAAGGTCAGTGGGCATAAGCCATCTAGTGAGGTCACACACAAGGATGACACTAAACACCGTTAGCATGTACCCATGGCCCTCTGGGAAATAAATGTATTTTAAAAAAATCAGCAGTGGCAGCCGAGAAATCCTGCTTTAAGAGTTATCACTAGCTGGTGGCCCCTATAATCCTAGCTACTCAGAAGGCTGACATTTGAGGATCACAGTTAGAAGCCAGCCCTGGCAGGAAAATCCTTGGGGCTCTATCTCCAATTAACTACCCCAAAAAGCCAGAAGTGCAGCTGTGGCTCAAGTAGTAGCATGCTAGCCTTGAGCAAAAAAGCTCAGGGACAGTGCCTAGGCCCCGAGTTCAAGCCCCAAGACTGGTACAAAAAGGTCTTATGAAAAGGTCTTCCTGGGGTTGGGAAGGTCGCTCAGTGGTAGAGCGCTTGCCTTGCATGCATGAGGCCCTGGGTTCGATTCCTCAGCACCACATAAGCAGAAAAAAAAAAAACCCAAAGTGATGCTGTGACTCAAGTGGTAGAGCGCTAGCCTTGAGCTGAAGAGCTGAGGGACAGCGCCCAGGCCCAGAGTTCAGGCCCCACGACCGGACCCCCAAAAAAGAAAAGGTCTTCCTTCTGCCAGGTGCTGGTGGCTCAAGGTTTATTCTTAGCTGCTCAGACAGCTGAGATCTCGGGATCTTGGATGAAGGAATGTCCGCGAGACTCATCTCCTATTAACCAGAAGAAACAACAACAAAAAGTCAGAAGTAGAGCGGAGGCTCAAGTGGAGAGAAGAAAAGTAAGGGACAGCGCCAGGCTCTGAATCCAAGTCCCAGGCCCCCCAGCCCCTCCCCCGCCCGGGTATTACAGTATTGGAAGGGAGCATCTCCAAGGGAGCATCTCCACCCCTCAAAGCAAGGATGCTGCGCGTGGGAATCGGTTAATGGGAACCCGGGCGGTTGAACCCGGCTCTGCTCATTCCAGCTTATTATCCCGTGCAGGCTTATCAGCAGGTCATCTTTTTCTCTCATTGAAAACCCGAAAGGTTATTGGGATGGGAAGTTTTCGATTTAAGATCTTTCTGTATTTTGCCGTTCCTTTCCCAGTCCTAGAACCTAAGCTGAGATCGCGGAAGGCCGGAGACCGCCGCTGCGCCGCTGTGGGCGCTGCGCTGCGTGGGACTGAACAGGAAACCGTGGCGTTGCCCATCCGGGCTGGTCACCCTCGAGGCGAACAGGTGGCTCGTCCCGGGGGGTCATCCCGGCCGCCGGGTGTCCCCGATCCTCCGAGCCGCCGACAGAGGGAGGGCGAGGGCCGCGCTCCGCCGCCCGGGCCGTCCG